AACATTAAGGTTTTTGAACTCATCTGAAAAATAATAATCTGTTGTAATTAAAAACTTAAACAGCCCATCAACTGGCAAAACGTTGACCAATTGATAACCTAGCATGGGATTTTCAACCAGATCAGCAGAATCAAGCTTAGTCATTGTTTTGATTATCCTGCTTTGCACGGTTTTTAGTTGCATTATGGCTGTGTTTGATGCTGCTCCCCATGACCTTACACCATATCTAAGCAATGATTCACACAGACTTGAGTAAATCAATTTCATTGTTTTTAGTGGCAGGTATTGTCTTATATGGTAAAACTTAAATAAGCATAATCTTAATTTATCAGTTAGTTGTTTCAAGTGCAAGTCCCATTTCATGTTATGATCAATTATGACTCCCAGATATTTATAACTTAAAACATACTCCAAATTCATACACTGACACATATTTTCATAGCTCTTCCGATGCAGACAATCGTGTGAATGAAATTTTACTGCTAGCTCTGTGCATTGGTACGAAGGTGAATGAATATGCATAATCTTTGATTTACTGCCATTTATAATCAATCCATTGTCATGGCACCACATTGTCAGCTTCAAAAAATCTGCTTCAATCTTAGTTTTTGCCACGTTTATATTTTTATCGGATATGGCAAGGGCTGTATCATCTGCGTACATAAAGGTTCTACAGAATTGTATAGCATCTGGCATCTCATTTACATAAATTAGGTACATCAAAGGCCCTAATATACTTCCTTGCGGTACACCGTATTCTAGTTCTTTTTCTTCACTAAATTTATCGTTTAATCTTACTTTAATTTTTCTGTTTTTCAAATAGTTTATAAACCAGTCTTTACATGGACCTCTAATTCCTGCTTTTTCTAAAGCCACTGCAATTTTTTTATGTTCTAGGGTATCAAAAGCTTTACTAAAATCAATAAAAATCACCAATACTTGCTTTCCCTGGCCCAATTGACTGTTTACATAGTCTGAAAATTCTAACAACAGCTCATTTGTCCCTCGTTTTCTTTGATATGCATATTGACTTTCATGTATCACTCCATTATCTTCTAGATGTTTTATTAGTTTATTTGCAACATACCTTTCTAATATCTTACCAAGGGAGGGGAGGATCGATATAGGACGATAATTTGAATAGTCATCATGTCTCTTTGATTTATAGATTGGTCTTATAACTGCAATCTTAAGCATGTCTGGAAAGTTTGAATTTCTAATGGAAGTATTTATCAATAAAACAATAGAATCAATTAAAACATCCAAATTATTTTGTATGTCAATCATTCTAATATTATCGTGGCCGGGTCCTTTTTTTCTCATTCTCTGCAGTAAACTCACAACTTCATTTCTCTTAATTTTAGGTATATACAATGATGCTATGCACTCATTTTGTCCTAAGGTATCTAGTGTTTTATGCTGACAGTTATGTATTATTGAATATATGCCTCTAGTAAATTTATCTGCAAATGCATTACATATTTCAAGTTCTGTTTTATGCTTTCCTAGATATTTAACTATACTTTCATCAATATTATCCACTTTGCCCCTACCTAAAATTGAGTTTATCTGACTCCAGGTTTCCTTAATATTATTTTGATTATTGTAAAATAAACTGTAGAAGTGTCTTTGTTTTGCTTTTTTGATTTCTTTGTCCACCTTATTCCTTGCTACCCTATATTTTTCTTTATAATTATTATTGTTTGGATGTGTTTTGTACAATTTAAATAATTTATCACGCTCTTTAATCTGTTTTACTATTTTAAAAGACATCCATGGTTTTTTAGGAGATTTAACTGGTTTTGATACAATAATTTTACTAATGTCATAGGCTTCATTAAAGTTTACATTTATTTTATTATAGATCTCTGATGCATCCCTTAAACATTTTATAGACAGCCAGTCCTTCTGCCCCAATACCCGTCCCAATATAGCCACATTTATCTTTGAATTTATCTGTTTTGTCTTATCAGTTGGGCAGGAGTTGTCAGGCTGGACATTGATAACACAGGTGTAGTGATCTGCTATCTTAGTCTGAACTACATCTGAGTTGACCTTCGCTCTTTTAACTCTTATGAATGCATGGTCTAAACATGTTTGTGTTAGTTTTCCTCCTCTTACTTCCTCCCTTGTATAACAATTTATGTAAGAATCTAAGCCGTGCCCTGCCATCATAATTTTGTAATCTTGAACATTTTTCTTATGTAAATCTCTTAAATCTAAATTCATATCTCCTATTACTATTATGTTTCCTTTTATACTCTGTAATATTTTATCTAATTCTGTAATAAATCCTGTTTCATCACAAATTGGCTGTCTATATGTAGCTAAAATGCTAGTTTCAAAACTTTTCATTTTAATATCAATGAGCATGCTTTCAAAATTCGTACTGTTGGTTGATACCCCATGCACCAAAATATCTTTTCTGGCAAAGATTAAAATACCTCCACCCCTCTTTTCTTCCCTTAGATTAAAATACTTATTGTAATTTTCTATACTAAACAGATTTAACATATCAGATAACTCATCCTTAATATTAACTTCAGTGAGAACAATTACATCAATCAAATTTAAACAAGTGCCAAAACAAGCAACAAATTGATCCCAATTCTTTCTAATAGATCTAATATTTAAGTGTAGAATTGTCATCCCAAGGTTATATTTTTGTAATTTAGCTGATTTTTCAAACTGGGTAGAATTCAAGTGAATATATGATTTATTCTCCTCAGTAAAAACAATATCCTGATCCATATTTAATCTCATTTTTAATACTATTTATTTTAGTTCTATTTTAACCCTGGAATGAAAACTCTCACTTAATCTTAGCTAAGTCGGACATCTCATTAATTACTATCACATCACTCTCCTTTGTTTTACGAAGCCTAACCGCACCATACTTAAACCAGATGAACTCGTATCCTAGATCCTTTCCTTTTTTCTTCGCTTCTTTTAATAGGTTTCTATAGTAAACAGTAAGGTTTTCACTTACAAAGATCTGGCCGCCTGGTAGTCCTGTCACCTGGTTGTTTGTTACAACCTTCCGCCTAGCTGCCAGCAACGCATCCCTCTTCTTCCTCCCGGCAAACTGGACGATGATGGTCGCAGGCCTGTTGTCCCTCCGAGTTGATGGTAGACGGTGTGCAGCCTCGATGTCATCCTCTGTGATGTCTACTCCCATTTTCTCAGCAAGTTTCACAACTATTTCTTCCACATTTTCCTTCTTGTTTTCAGTTACTTCATTGATTTCTAGATTTTTGTTTCTGCCGTATTGCTCTAATTGGCTTAGACGCATACTCAAATCTTGAATCTCTTCATCCTTCCGCTGAATGACCAACTGTAGTTGCTCCACCTTTTCCTCCAGCTTCGGTAGAAGTTCCAGCTTGTGGATAATATCCTCATACTGTTCACTTATGAAGTGCTGACTTTTAATAACTTCCTTGCTGTCTTCTTTAATTTTATCTAAATCCTCCTTTAGTGTTGGAAGAATTTGTAGCTGCTTGGACACATCTTTCATAAATTTTTTAAATACCTCTGTAATATTTTCATCATTATCTTCAGAAACATCTTTTTTAAAATCACATTTTTTCCCTGACTTGCATTTTAGACATTTCCATTCCTGCTTATGAATAAGTGTCATTTTTCTAAATATTGATTGAGTTATTCCCGCACATGAATAATGATAATTAGATTTACAGTTAAGTACTGAACAAGTAATTAAATCCTTCACATCCAAAATATTATCAGTGCACTGACCACAATCCATCTTGATATAACCTCAAAACTAGTAGTAGCTAATAACAAGGAAAACACAACCTTCCTCTAGCACTGACTGAGACTGACTGAATTACCATCTACATGGATGCCTCGTTGGGAAAAGATCGTTACTCTTAAAAGTTTGCAATATAATTTGCCAAATGGATCCATTGGAGACTAATTTGTACAATTACTAGCAGAAGAAATATTGTTGCTGGCAACTGGAAAAGAAACCTCTGAAAGAGTAATATGTTCAGTTCAACAGCCAAAACCACCATATTACTCTTAAAAACAGGAGTTTTTGCGTATTTTGCTTTTCCCAAGTTTCTGGTGTCAGACAACGCATCCTCCTTTCAGTCAAAAGACTTTTCTGACATGTGCCTAGAATTTGGAATCAAACACATCACAACAACCCTTTGCTACCCAAACCCTAGCCACGCCGAACATGTCAACAAGAACATAAAGATAGTCATTAGAATATATCATGCACAAAACCAAGTACAGTGGGCTTTACTACTGGGTGGCTGTCCGCTACTGTATTTGTCTTGTTGTTACAGTTTAACAGCACCTCAAGTCACTGTACTACACAGCTGGTTGTCTTCACTACTGGGTGGCTGTCCGCTACTGTAGTAGTCTGTATTCGTCTTGTTGTTACAGTTGAAGAGCACCTCAAGTCGCTGTACTACACAGCTGGTTGTCTTTACTACTGGGTGGCTGTCCGCTACTGTATTTGTCTTGTTGTTACAGTTGAAGAGCACCTCAAGTCGCTGTACTACACAGCTGGTTGTCTTCACTACTGGGTGGCTGTCCACTACTGTAGTAGTCTGTATTTGTCTTGTTGTTACAGTTGAAGAGCACCTCAAGTCACTGTACTACACAACTGGTTGTCTTCACTACTGGATGGCTGTCCGCTACTGTAGTAGTCTGTATTCGTCTTGTTGTTACAGTTGAAGAGCACCTCAAGTCGCTGTACTACACAGCTGGTTGTCTTCACTACTGGGTGGCTGTCCACTACTGTAGTAGTCTGTATTTGTCTTGTTGTTACAGTTGAAGAGCACCTCAAGTCGCTGTACTACACAGCTGGTTGTCTTCACTACTGGGTGGCTGTCCACTACTGTAGTAGTCTGTATTTGTCTTGTTGTTACAGTTGAAGAGCACCTCAAGTCGCTGTACTACACAGCTGGTTGTCTTCACTACTGGGTGGCTGTCCACTACTGTAGTAGTCTGTATTTGTCTTGTTGTTACAGTTGAAGAGCACCTCAAGTCCCTGTACTACACAGCTGGATGTCTTCACTACTGGGTGGCTGTCCGCTACTGTAGCAGTCTGTTACATCATACAGTAGACAGCATCAGTCCTTTCATTACCACTGTACTAGTCAACGGCAAAGAGGTAATTATACCTGTTGCAGACAACACATTCTATACCCTGATTTAAAATTTTGGTGTCCATAGGCCCAATAATATCTTTGCCTCCTAAGTTAGTTCGGTTAAAGTTACTTTCCTAATAATCGTTATTAAACAACTTTTTTCAGGCGTAATTTCAATGCAACAGTTTTATTAGCCTACTTCAAGTTTTTTGAACGATTTACTTGTTGCTGGCCTTAACAAAATGCCATATTTAACAATGATTAAATAAAATTAAAATTATGTTTAAAATAGTATGGAGGAGGAGATAGAGTAGTTAATGCGTGATTGAACTTCAAAAAAACAAATACAGAAACTTTCACATTTATAATATTAGTATGATGATAATGTTCGTTTTGCGAAGTAAGGGCATTGGTTAGGGTAGTAACAGCGTCTTGACAATAACATTGTTTGTAATGCACATACGCCCCTAATTACTACTCCGGATGCTAGCGCCCTTCCCCTTGACCTTGCACCCATTGACCTGGGCCTATCGGGTAATCCTGTCCTGCTCGCTAATAAATATTGTAAACCATACAACATTTTAAAAAAAAGCTCTACAAAAATCTGTTATGCGGCTGTCCCGAAGTCCCATCAAAATTTGGCGCTCTAGGCCAGTGCCTATTCAGCCTATTGGTTAATCTGGCCCTGAACACATTATAGACCAAATTAATCTTCCTATTGTTGGACTCAGTTAATTCATGTTTCTTTATAGGAGACGGACACATCTAACACTATTTAATTTATCATTCCTGAGTCCCTGTACTTAATGGAGGGCTGCTGCCTGTTGAGTTATTGCAGAATTTTTTTATTGTTAAGTATAAATACTTGTAGGATGGAGAAAACTTTTAATAAGAAATTCTCTAAAATCAGTTTACCCTTGGCATAATTTACGTAGGCTAACAAGAAACAAAAAAAATGGAATTTTGTTTACAACTTTTATTTCGTACCTATGAAATTTTAAACATTCCTAAACATCTTCCATGATTGTATAGACATCATTATTGTCACCTACCATAGCGACCAATTGTGAACACCCGCGATCATAGTTCTGCCAGTATAAGCTACACTACTCTGATTGGTGTATTTGCAGCTGACTGTTGGTGTGATCGGAAGAGAGGAGACAGTGTTTGACAAGCCTCCAACTCCAGCTGAGATCCGCTCAGTGATCTACTCCACCATCCAGCCTTACGATGTGATCCAAGCAGTGCTGCAGCAAGAGGTGGTGTTATACTGTGGCAGACTCATCGCTACTAACCCTGATATGTTCAAGGGAATTCTGAAAATAAGAGTTGGGTTAGTACTTAAATCAACAATCAATTTTACAGCTTATAAAGTTTGGACATAATATGCTGCAGCCTCTCCTGCAACGGCCAGTTCATTCAGGAGATGGGCGGGGTTATATCGAACATTTAATGGGAGGCAGATATTGTTTCACTTTTGACTCTAGCCAGTTGAGCAACAATTATCTAAGAAGATTCTTTTTAAGGGTGCCTTTCCATTCATAATTAATTAGTAACATATAACCTCAAAATATACATAGTTAAATTCAATCAAAATCGGCCTCATTCAGATACTACTCGCTTGGACTAAATTTGGACATGACGAAACGCTTAGATAAAGATGTTGTTAAGGCAAGGAAAAGACATAAATCCATAAAGGCCTAAAATTTCCTTCTTTTTCATTTTTAATGATAAAAAAAACAAGCATACCCACTTTCCTATGTTAACCTTATAGGGAAAAAATAAAATATGATAGCTCGCATATTTCTGAACACATCTTATCTTATCTAACAGGGGCAGGTCGAGACCTTAAAGCACTTCATCCAAAATCGAATTATTGCGCACCCCAGACAAATGCTTTCTTGTTGACCTACAAGTTAAGGCGCCCAATGAATGCCTGTAGCTTCCCAATTAGTTCATCCTCAGGAAGGTATCTACCTCTAGCCATATTTCCAAGAGTTATCAATCTAGCGTCAGAGAGCTCGTTACAATCAAAGAGTAAGTGATCAGCTGTCTCTTCTGACCTATCACAGTACCTACAGATCGGTTCACCATCATATAAGCCCATCCGTTGTAAATGTTTCCTGAATCTTCCATGACCAGTTATCAGTTCAACAGTTAATTTAATTCTTTGTCTGTCTAGTCTCAAGAGGTCAGAGGCGACCTTTTTAGAAGGCCTAAACAGAGTAAGCTTGCTGACCCTAAGAAGGGGAACATCGACCCAGCGTTTGCGATGCTTTTCCTTGGCCCATGACGCAATCGAAGAACATGCACTGTTTCGTGAGATGCCACAGAAGGGTTGTGGGCCTATCAATGATGTCGCAGAGGCAGTATTTGCCAATCTGTCTGCAGCTTCATTACCTTTAATGCCTGAGTGTCCTGGCACCCAGCAAAGCGTAAGGTCATTTCTCCTACCCAACTCAGACACAGAAGCAAGACAGTCCCACACGAGCCTGGAGTTGAATTCGTAAGAGTTTAATGCTTTTAAGGTCGCTTGACTATCAGTATAGATATTGATTGTTTTGTCTCTGATATCTTTGTTAAGATGTTCTCAAGCACAAACCAGAATGGCAGTGACCTCTGCTTGAAAAACAGTTGGGTACACCTCCATTGGAAGACAAATTCCAGTGCCCCCATTTTTGATCTTAGAACCATCAGTATAGCATTCTAAATCACCTGTGGGTATGGGTCCTTTTCCGCCAGACCAATCCTTCCTATCTGGTATTAGTACTTTGAAAGGCTTTCCAAAGGAGTATTTTTTGGACATGTGATCTGAAGGCAAGTCCAATTCATCATTATGTACCACCTGAACAATTTTGGAGTGCCCTTTATTGTTTCCTGAGGTTATCCATAAGTTTTCGCATCTAAGGCGTTGGGCTGTTTTACTTGCTGCCACCTTGATGTAAATGTCAATAGGTAGCATATCAAGCAGACAGTCTAGAGCCGCTCCAGGACAGCTGCTTACTGCCCCAGTTATCATTATAAGAGCAAGCCTCTGAACTCCTGCTAAAGCTTTGACAGCAATAGTAGATTCCATCTTTGGCCACCACACAAGCAAACCATAAGTAAGGGCGGGTCGAACTACAGATACATACAGCCAGTGCAAAAGTTTAGGCTGTAACCCCTATGTGCCACTTACCATCCGCCTGCATGCCATAAGGGACCATTTGCCACGCTAAGTGACTTTTTGAAGATGTGGTCCCCAGTGAAGTGATCTGTCCAAAATTACACCAAGATACTTCACCTGATTCTGCAGCTCTATTACAGTGCCCTGCAGTCTTAGTGGGCCGATCCCATCCAGTTTCCTCCTTCTTGTGAAGGGTACCATTACAACTTTCCTGGGATTTATTGAGAGCCCAACTTCCTGACACCAACGGTCCACTACCCTTAAAGCTCTATTCATAAGGTTATGGTATAAGTTATGGTTCCGTGGAACTTTCCAACCACAAGGATTGCAACATCATCAGCGTAACCTAAGGCGAAAACCCCACTTTCATTGAGGGTCCTTATTGAGGGTCATCTGCTACCAAATTCCAAAGGAGGGGAGAGAGTACCCCCCCCCCCCCTGAGGGCATCCTCGAGTAGTTCTTGCCTCGATCCTGTCATTATGGAGTGAGAGCCTAACCTTCCTACTGTGAAGCAAGGATTCAATCCATCTACATATTATACCATGAAAACCTCTTGCTCTCACCGCATTAAGAATCGCTGGAGTACCAGTATTATCAAAAGCACCTTGAATATCGAGAAAGGCACCCAGGGCCACTTCACTGCTCTCTAGAGCTTTCTCAATCTTGCTTACAAGTTGGTGCGACGCAGTCTCGCATGATCTTCCTGAGACATACGCATGCTGATTATTATGAATAGGATGTGTCCTGAGAGCTGTATCCATCATATATCTTGAAACCAACTTTTCTAGGATCTTAAGGAAGAAAGAAGATAGAGAAATGGGTCTAAATGACTTAGGATCAGTGTAACTATCCCTCCCTGGTTTAGGAATAAATGCGATACGCGAATTACACCACCCTAAGGAAATGTGTCCTAAGGCTAAGCTGGCTCTGAAAAGTTTACAGAGTGGGTGTATAATTGTGTCAAGACCCTCCTGCAAACAAACAGGTCTTACCTCATCAGGACCCGGCGATTTGAAGGGTTGTAATAAGCCAACAGCCCATCTTACCTTGCTGAAGGTGACTATGCGGCAAGCAATGCTCCACATAGAATGAGTGGCACGATGGCCCAGATTAGGCCGCTCTGGACTCACCTCCTCCTGCTACACTTCAGAAACAATACAACCAGGGAAATGAGTTTTTACCATTACCTTTAGTATTTCGGTAGGTTCAAAAGCCATTACACCATCCGGTCCCTCAACGGCACCAAGAGTAACATGCCTGTCTCTAACAAGTACTTTATGTATTCTAGAAGTATCCTTGATACTTTCTAAATTTCCACAAAAATGTTTCCATGAAAGCCTTTTAGCCTTTCGTACTGCATGGTTATATTCTGTGAGAACAGTATGGTATATATCCCAATTATTAATTTTCTTAGCTCGCCTAAAGTGGGCCCTTACTCTCTTCCTAAGAGAGGTAAGTTCGGGACCCCACCAGCTGGCCCTATTGCTCTTGCCCTTACGCAAAGGACAATTATCCTCAAAGGATGTAACTAAACACCTAGTTAGACGATCTGCCGCCTCGTCAAGCGCATCAATTGTGTTTATAGGAGATGTGTTCAGATTTGAGGCAATCTTGCCCCTAAGATAAGCTCTGAAGGATGCCCAGTCGGTTTTAACTGGGCTCCTGAATAAGCGAACCTCGCCGCAGAAATTCCCCAACCTGAAGACAATGTGCCTATGATCAGACAGGGATGGCTCAAGGGACACTGACCAGTCAATAATCCTGTCAGCCATACCCGCTGAACACAGGGTAAGATCAATTACTGATTGGCCTATCCTGCTTAAAAAAGTTGGTTCTGAGCCTACGTTTGCAACAAGTAGGCCGCAAGAAGCTAGGTACTCTAGAAGTGACCTACCTCGGTTGTTAGTGTCCCTGCATCCCCAGGCTGTATTATGGGCATTGGAGTCGCAGCCTATCACAAGTTCGGATCCAGACTCATGTGCGAGGTCGACCAATCTTCTGACCTCGGCCGATGGGAACAATCCATCGTCGCCCTGTGGCATGTAAACAGAGGCCAGCAGCAGTTTTATGTTAGATTTAGTACATACAGTCTTAATTACTGTTACGTCCCTCGAACAAAGCTCTAGAACTGGATTACATTTTAGCCCCTCTTTAACCCAAATGCAAGTTCTAGGGTGTGGTACAGATGCAGAGATGATGGTTCCCATCCCCGCAATTCTAAAATTATTGACCCAGGGTTCCTGAATCAAGGCAAAATCTAAGGACTGCTTAACCGTGCTCAGACAGAACACAGCCGTGGCAGCCTTACTGTGTTGTAGGTTCACTTGAAGGTCCTGAGTCATCAGAGGGAGCACCAGAGATAACTCTGAGCTGTAGTTTCCCCAGACCCAGATAGATGATCCAGCCACGATCTTTCAGAACCTGCGCATTCATTTCATCAATAGCAAGAACAAGAATCTGATGATCATCCTTCCTCTTCCCACCAATGACGTGCCAGTCCTTTGTCGTGACACCAGGATTTAGCCGCTCAATCTGAACAAACACTTTAGAGGCTTCGACCTTGGCCAAGCGCCTGTCAGTGCGAAGGAGCACTTTAGTCGTGCGCAACAGATCCTTGTAGTCTGCTACAATGACCTCCATACTCCCCTCACTTCCCAGCGCTAGCTTCGGTGCCACCCTCTTTAGCCAGTCAGTTGTTTCAGAATTACCACAAGTTACGACAAGAGCACCCTTCTCATGGTAAATTTTTTCAAACTGATGCGGAATATTGGCACCATCATCACCAAACACCAACTCCATCAGTTTGTCCTGCAACAAGTCACATTCCTCAACAGAGAATCTCGCATCGGGATAGGCCGCTGGAGCTACTGCTAACTTGTGACCCACAAGCTGGTCTCTGTAGCTGACCTTTCCTGCAACGAATCCATCTGCTGATTGATTAGAGTTTTTATTTCTCTTAGGAGGAGGATTTTGAGAAGACCCATGGTTACTATCGGGTCCGGTTCTACGCATCGGTGATACGCCTGAACCTTCCCCAGGAGAACTCAAGGACTCTCGCTTCCTCTTTCTCCACTGTCTGTTAGGGATCCACGTGCCCTCAGCCTTTTTCTTTTCTCTAACAGACATATTATGCTCAGTTCTGGTCTTAACTGTAAAAGCGATCTCAGAGTCGGACGATGCATCCGCCAGAGACGGAGAGTTGCAGCGTTGCTGGTGTTTAGTGGCTTGTTCAGGTCCGCATCTAGCCTGTGACAAAGCTCAAGAACATCAGTTGATGAATTGGGTGGAGTTCTAGCAAGTAGGGAACTTCTCGAGAAGATCTCTGGCGTGTCCAAGATCTCCCCAGGTTCCGTCTCCATTGCGGTGTTCTGCACAGTAACATCATTGTTAAAGGAAAGCTGATTATTGCCCTCCCCAGAATCCATGGGCTTGCCCTCCAAAAAGGAGGAGTGGGATTCCCCGCTTGAGCAGGTACCCATCTGGGGTAATGATTCCGTTTGTTTACTTTCAGCCATTACTAAAACAAGAAAAGCAAAAAGTTAGCAGTTTAGCAGCCGAACCGTGACCCACTCACTACGCCTGCTAATGTCCAAGACTGGACCCTTTCGGGGTAGGACCCCTCATCGTCTCCAGCTCAGTCCTGTCACAGCTGCACACATACCTGTAACAGTTGGCGGTAACATTAGCTATCTGGGCCTTGGCCGGATTGGTGATTGGTGATCCGCCCAAGGCCAGTACTAGAGCAGCCGCTCCCTACCCTAGGGCTGTCTAGTCACGACACAGCCAGCGCTAGATCCGCTGCCTTCAGCGAGTGCAGAGGCACCCCTTGCAGGCTGTGCATAGCACAGTACGACTTTGCTGAACCAAGTCGACTCACAGCGGTCTTGGAGGAGGAGCTGTCATAGACAGCTCCACCTCCCTGAGGAGCTTATGCTTGCCTCTCACCTCCTACACATCTTATTAAAACTTGGTATATCCCTTCTTTTAGTTGAGTACTATATGATTATGGCCTAAAATATCCTTCAGATCAACGCTAGAAAGGTTACAGTATGAATGGCTACTAAAATAGAAACATATTTTTTATCTAGTTTTTTTTTTTTGATCAAGTATTGGTTTTCAAAAGATTTTGATGACAATAAATATTTATGCACAAAGTAGTAATGGCAACTCTTTAAAATTTAATATTTTGTCTAATCACAAACACTTTTTTGAAATGTTATCAACAAGTTGGAAAAACTATTTTTCCCCCTAAAGAATGGGAGTAAGCAGGCTTTGTGCAACAGAAATGTAAAACTAGAGATTTTAGGTTTGGTCCAGAGTGCTTTGGTTTTATCATCAGCTTGCTGTATTTGGTCTGCTGTGGCCTGTCGTCTTAGTGTATTCAGTTTCAGGTCGTAATCTTTTTTCTTGTTTGACATTGTAATTTTGTCCTTTTCTGTTCCACTCAGTAGGTATTTGTTCAGAGCCTGTAGAAATTCTTGCTTTAGTACCTCAGCTTCATGGTTTGCTATAGGACGTTTTCTGGGTTTTTTCCTTGACTTTACCATTGGGCAGGTTTGGTTAATAGCTCCTGCAATAATCTTGCTGAAGTTACGATAGGCGTCCTCTGGTTGATGTTCATTGAAGACACTTTCCCAGGTTTCTTGGGCAAGAATAGATTTAAGTTCATGACATTCCTTTGGTTGAATTTCCTAGAATAGAAGGTTTGATTCTGAGATGGGGCAGAGGTATTTATTTTGCAGAGCTGTGCTGTGTGGTCTGAGAGTCCGGCATTGAGAACATCAACCTGAATATCATCATTGCCTGGGTTTGTCCGTCATTGCTCAAAGGGGAGCCGTATCATATTGTGGCTAAGAAGAACTTCGTTTAGTTTTGTCATTTCACTACATTTCACTGTATTTCAAGGTTTGGCTCCAAGCAGTCTATATTGATATCACCTATGAGAATAACTAGATTTTTCCATGTTTGTGTTTTTTCTAGGGTTTCAGAGATGATATCCAAGGATGAGTCTAGGTTTCCTTGGGTTCTGTAGATGCCAACAACGTGTAAGTTTTTCCGGCCCTGTTTTATTTTCACAGATATTAGCTCACAATGTAGTTCGATGCTGAGGTTTGTTATATCTGTAGGTACAATGGTGTAATTAGCATTGTTATTTTTAAGGTTTTCAATGACCCATTATTTACTAAAATCGGTCTAGTAGAACTCTAGATTTAGTTGTACACAAATTTTTTAAATTGAATTATACATAAGTAAAAAATATTTCTGAAAGATTCTTTAAACTCAAAATTCAGGTTTGTGACACATCATCATAATTTCAAATATACAGGGCTGGTCATCAGTGTTACAAAATTTTTTTGGCGTAAGTACAAAGTAAATGCAGTGTTATGATGCATATAAAAGGTTCCAAGTCCAAAAATTAGCTTCCCAAAGAATTATTTTATGTTTTTCAAAAATAACTATGTTTTCAAACTTAATACAGCTATTTCTCAATTACCGGTAAATGGATTTGAGTAGACAATGTCATTTTCGTGTTCTACATTAAATTTTGAATAAGAATAATAGAAAATGACGGATGATCAGTTGTAAAAACCCCATTGTAAATAGATTTAAAGATAAAAATTAAGATGTTTGATACAAATTAAAAAAACATTTGTCTATTGTATTTGTTCACACCCTGTATACAAGAAAGTGGCCGATTATGTTAAAAACTGCGCCATTTTATAAGCTTTCTAACCATATGCTACACTATTGAGGTTAAGATATTCTGTTGTTTGTTTTAGTGGTTTGAATACCAGAAAACAGGGAACTTTTTTACTGTTTTTACTGTTCAAGCTGAAACAAAAATACAACTTTTGCTTAATACATGCCGGCTTTCTATGTTTTAAATGTTAAAGACACCCTGTTTTCTGGTATTCAAACCACTAAAACAAACAACAGAATATCTAAACCTCAATAGTGTAGCATATGGTTAGAAAGCTTATAAAATGGCGCAGTTTTTAACATAATCTGTCACTTTCTTGTATACAGGGTGTGAACAAATACAATAGACCAATGTTTTTTAAATTTTTATGAAACATCTTAATTTTTATCTTTGAATCTATTTACAATGGGGTTTTTACAACTGATCCTCCGTCATTTTCTATTATTCTTATTCAAAATTTAATGTAGAACACGAAAATGACATTTTCTACTCAAATCCATTTACCGGTAATTGAGAAATAGCTGTATTAAGTTTGAAAACATTGTTATTTTTGAAAAACATTTTTTGAAGCTAATTTTTGGACTTGGAACCTTTTATATGCATCATTACACTGCATTTACTTTGTACTTACGCCAAAAAAATTTTGTAACACTGATGACCAGCCACCCTGTATAAAAAAAATTTCAGATTGGCCTTATTATTTCAGATGGGTGTTAGAAGCAATGAAACTATGCTTGAAAATGGTATACAGCAAACCAAAACCTCTTGAAAATCACAGTCCATACGAAGTGAGTACAGTTGTTTTTGTGAGTTCAATAACTAATTTGATGTTTATTGATTAAGTTACGCTCAAACTCTGAATTTGGACGATATCTGAAATTTTGGACCACTTTGCAATGTGGACAGTGTGAAATACTCAGCATAGAGTAGGCATTTTTAACAAAAATAAAAGCAAAATGCCTAGAAAGTGTTGTGGGTAAACTGATTTACTCAATGGCAATGTTCTAAAGTTCTTCGGAAATTGAGCAAAGTAAAAATACCTACAACATGGCGTGGGCAAAAATGATTGCCCACGTCGGGCTGTGATTAGTTTTGGTAGTGTCAATACCAATTAGCCTGTATAAACTACAGCGTACTATTCTACATTAAGTTTACAATTAACATGTGTTCTTCTTCTCACTTTTAATTTCTGACAACAGCTGGAGTTTCATAACACTATTTGTTTCCCATGTTAATCTTATGGGAAAATAGGAAACTTTAAAGGGCCCCAGGACCTCACCCTCTAATTATCTCTCTTAAAAGAAAGTTTCCTGCACAACTTCACGTAGCGCTCTTTCAAATGACACCAAGAACATGTCAATCGGTTCAGTAGTTTCGGAGGAGTAATTATCACAAAATCCTGCTTGCGTATTAATTAAGTATATAGATTTGTTTCCCATGTTAATCTTATGGGAAAACACGAAACTTTAAAGGGCCCCAGGGCAACACCCTCTAATTATTTCTCTTAAAAGAAAGTTTCCTGCACAACTTCATGTAACGCTCTTTCAAATGACACCAAGAACATGTCAATCGGTTCAGTAGTTTCGGAGGAGTAATAATCACAAAATACCTGTTTGCGTATTAATTAAGTATAGATACCCACGGTGTACCCCGTGTACACGGTGTAGGTTTAAGTGTACCCGCGGGCTTTGCCCCGTTTAACTTCATAAGTATTCGCATGGCTGAATCACGTCCTGGTTGAAGTTCGTTCGCTACGCTCACTCACCTTTAGTTTGGAGCTCGTTCGCTACGCTAACTCGCCTCCAGGTTGAAGTTTGTTTGCTACGCTCAATCACCTTTTGGTTGCAAATTGGCTGTTGTCATAAATAAATAAAAAAAAAACTAATAGTGCTGCACCCTGTTGGTAATCCTTGTAACTTTAAAGCTATTGAACATCATAGAACAGAACCAACTTGTTTGATTGAAACAGCTGTTAAGATTCATTAATTCCTTTTAAAATGAAAAATCATAAGGTTAACATGGGAAACTCCAGAGCCACTGGGGCGGAGCCCGAAAGCCCGATCAGAATAAAAACTACTTAGTTTTCCTATTTAATGCCCAAAGAATCGGTGTACCGAATTTCAGCTTCCTAAGGTAAGGAGTAAGGAGAGTAAGGATTTCTCTCGAGTGAGGCAATTGCACTTTGCAATCGAGTTGCACATTATATTTTTCCTACAGTTACCATAAAACTAGGGATGGTCAAGTCTCGAAATTTCGGGAAATTTTAAATCTTGTTACACGAGACGAGATTTCTTTTTGGCCGAGATTTTTATCGAGACGAGAATTTAAAAAAATTTTAAATTTAAAAACGCCTGCAGAAAGTCAATGCAATACCCGCAATACAGGAGCGTTTTGTAGTTGCGTTTCCTTTGCGAAGGAGTTCTTATTTAATTAATTCTTTAAATGTAAATATTACTTTAATTATTTAAATAATATTACTTTAATAACATTTGAGAAGTTTTGTTAAGTGTAAGCAGTGTGAGGAATGTTTTATTACTATAAAAAGTCAAAACAAGTTACTATTTTATAAAAATTAATATTGCTTTTATTTTATGATTTATTTTATTTTAGGATAAGTTGAACTCTATCCTAACTGATATCACCATGTTTTCTAATCGTAGGCATTTTTAATAAGTTAGGCGTGATTAATAAAAAAATGTTATGCTGATGTTTTTTAATAAAATATTGTAAATATTCTTGCCTATTATCATTTTTTTTTTTGTATTTAAACACAGTCATCTAACAATGTTACAAAATCAGGTAAAAATTTTGAACGTGTATTTCCCGTTGTGTATGAGAAGGGAAATCCCGTCTCGAAATTTTATGAGAAATAAAAAGTCTCGTCTCGAACTAAAAATCCAATCTCGTCCATCCCTACATAAAACAAATAAATTGGTAAAGAACCGTAACATATTTTTACACAGAAGTGAACTTTTAATATGACATTTAATGATACAACAGTACAACAGCTGACCAGCTGATTTACAGCCAGTGCTGCCAACGTATTTCGCGTGCATACGACCTTGTCTGCATGCTACGCGCTCACTATTTCGTGCCTTCACGTTGCAAATCTGGAGTGAGACAAAGTAATTAGAGCAAAAGAGAGCGACAAATGACAAAGTAATCTGCTGATGAGCGAATTGGCCACTTTGCTTTCTCATATCAGTGAGAGAACATGTACAATGTTAGGTAACTGTAGGAAAAGTTTTTTTTTTTTTACCATACATCAATAGCCAATAGGATGAAATAAATAAATTTTCCAAATTTTTTTAAAAAATATATCAATAAACAAGTAAACTACAACAGTTTTCATTTTCTCCATAAGAATAACATGGGAATTTCAATTTGAAATTACACTTTTTTTTATTTTCTTTGTGACCGTTAGGCATACAACAGCGCTTCAATATACTAAATTATTTCTTTTTTTAAGCTCTACAAAATGGTTTGGTAAGAAATTGCAAAATCTTTTGTTTTCAGGGTCAAAAATGGGAAAACCCCTTTTTAATCCATAAACCCCCCATATACCCCCAATCCCATGGTCCGATCATGCTGGTTCACGAACTCGTTTGAATAAATGTAGGTTTACAAGTTTATACCAAATTTCATAAAAATCGGATCATTTTTTCTCGAATTATCATGCTAACGGACACACAAATACAGTAGGATCTCGTTAATTATAGAAAATGCCGGATTGGTGGAAATGCATCAGAAATTGAAGTAGTTTTACAATAAACAAAATTTGTATTGCTTACAAAAACTATGATAACAATCATTTGAATTTCTGTACAGTATAGGCCTAATGAAATGTTCTTTAATGTATTATTGTGAAATAGAAACAGTGCTGAAATAGAAAGAAGCTGTCGACGTACTGGCTCCGCCCACTCCGCCCTCCTCATCCCCCTCCTCCACGTCACTGCCGTCTAGAACATCTTCGATGATCTCATCGTCTGTCATGATTTGACACTGCTCGTGGTCTGCTCCTTCCAACCAGGCGGTGTCATCGGCTGATGTCAGATCTTATGGATCGTGTACTAATTGTTCGGCTATTGCTTCACACTCAAGTCATTTAGCTCAGCATCTGTTGTCACTGTCGTTTGAGGATTTGATTGTCTTCTGTAATCCTCTAATAAATCAAGAGAAGGCCACAACTTCGCCCATGAACAAACAATTATTTTTGTTGCAAGTTTTTCCCATGCGCTTGCAAGATTAAATACCCCCGCCGCAGTAAACCTGCAGACTAAGCGGATTTCAACTTGTCTGATTACATTTTTACTAAAATATTTCCATAAATAAGACATATTTATTTATTCCTAATTTTAATAACATTAGATTTAATGAGTGCTTAGGTTTGCTGCTACGGGGAAGGTAAAAAGTGTTTTTTGACCATACGCCAATAGTATAGGATGAAATAAATAAGTTTGCCAAATTTTATCAATATATCCATAAACAAGTAAACTACAACAGTTTTCATTTTCTCCATAAGAATAACATAGGTTTTTTTTATCACACTATTTTTGAATTTTCTCCGTGACCGTTCAACAGTACAACAGTGCTTCAATATACTAAATTATTTCTTTTTTTAAGCTCTACAAAACGGTTTAAAAAGAAATTGCAAAATTTTTTGTTTTTGGGGTTAAAAATTAGAAAACCCCATTTTTACCCAATAAAACCCCCCATAAACCCCCGGTCCCATGGTCCGATTATGCTGCTTCGCAAACTCGTTTGAATAAACGTAGGTTTACACGTTTGTACCAAATTTAATCAAAATCGGATCATTTTTGCTTGAGTTATCGCGCTAACGGACATATATATATATATATATATATATATATGGATTTGAACGGATGGTGTTTTTGGCCTCTAGGGACCTCAAAACAAAAAGAAAATTATATCGGTCCCGGGTCCAGGTCTTACCATGAGTACTACGGTTATAGCTTATTCCCTATATGGGAAATTTGCTAAAACAACATCTTTCAGGTTGGTTTCCTTCAGAGCTGTAACAACACTCCCCTCTTTTGATTAAACACTGTATAACAGGTTTTTTTTGTAATTTGTTTTTATAGTTTGGATCACATTTTGGTCCATGAGCTGGAGTATCGGAGTTACATTTGGGGGCAAAAATAAAGCAGTGATTTTTCCATTCCAACTTTTTAACTCATCCTCATCTGGATGTCCAAGACAATTATTAATCAACAAAAGGGCTTTTTAAGGCAGTTTCTGTGTTTTCAAAAACTTTTTTACCGATGGAACAAAAGTTTTATGAAACCATTCCAAAAAAAGAGTTTTTGTCATCCATCCCTTTGTCGAGTTTGTGTATGTAACTGGCAACTGTGTGTTTTTGAAAGCCCTTGGCTTGTTGGCTTTCCCAATAACGAGCAATTCTAATTTATGCGTGCCACTAGCATTACAACACGGCATAAAAGTTACTCTATCTTTGGCCAACTTGCGACCTGGGGCACTAGCTTCATCTCTATGAACGAATGTTTGTTTCGGCAAAAGACGCCAAAACAGACCACTCTCGTCAGCATTGTAGATCTGATCCAAGCCTAAGTCCATTTCATCCATGATATCTTTAAATTTTTCAACAAAATGTTCTGCAGCCGCTACATCACACGAAAGCTTCCTCCAGTCATAGTTAGCAATCAAATTCCAAAGCGTCGTTTGAATTTATCCAGCTACCCAACACTTGCACGGAAGTCGTCCTTTTTCATAATTTTGTTATAACAATGTTTTGCTTTTTCCATTATAATATCACCTGAAATTGGCGTGTGTCGGCTCCTTTCTTGCAATTATAAAGTGTGTCTTCTACTTGCGGAAATTCGCCTACTTTTAATGTCTTTCTTACCTTTAAAGATGATTCACTACTCCTCTTAAAGAATTATTCGATTTGCTCCTTCTTCTTCTTTATGTCGTGTATAGTTGCACGGCCGATATTGTATTCCTTAGACAGATGAGCCAACTTTTCACCCTTTTCCAAATGTTTTAAAATCGTATACTTTTGATCTAAAGTCAGCGTTACATGTTTACGTTTTCCCGACATCGCACTACACATTTAGATTGTATAGTATGTACACTGTACTCACAACACTGCCTTCACTCAACTCACACGCCACGCACTGTACGCAAATGCAACTACCCGTAGCAGACGTCAGTCGTCAGTGTACTGCTGTTGTGAAATGTGGACACTCGCGTTTTCAAGTCTAGACATGAAAATTGACTAACTCATCGGCGGAAACACAGTGCCGGTGTAATGAATGGCCGGATTATAGAGACTCTACTGTATATATATATATATGAATTTGAACGGATGATGTTTTCGGCCTCTGGGGGTTCGCCAGAATTTTATCACCCTGGAATTTTACCCCCTGGGCAAAGTTGACGTCACTATGACGTATAAGCTAGATATTATATTATATAAGCAATAAAAACCGGAATTTTACCCCCTGTTGATATAACTAGCATTTAGGCAACTGCAGATGTACGGCCCGGATTTTTGCCCCCCCCCGCAATTTTACCCCCTGATTTTTACCCCCTGAATTTTTGCCCCCTGGCCAGATATAGAAATTATTGAGAATAATTTGTTTTTTCTTTCAGTTTTAAATCAATAGAAAACATATTACTATTGAATGTTTAGAGTAGCCTATCTTAATTTATTTGTAATCTCAACTACCTAAGTAAACAGATTTCGCTGTTTAATTTTGATATTCGGGATTTGGGTTTGGGGCCAACTGTTTGTTAATATGTTTTATAATGAAATGAGTATCTCATTTAAATGATAATAGGGTGAACATTTCTTGAACGATTTATTATACCACAGTGGAAAAAATGTATTTCGTTTCTGTTGTACAGTAACACAATATTCCTTTTTATTTCTTCAGGCACAAACCATGAGCTATTTGTGGTTTGTACACAGAAAGATAATCGAAATACATGTTGTAAAATGTAGTTGAAGGTATCCGGTAAAAAGTATTTGTCCAATTGTTGTGTTGACTACTACAAGGAAACCCAAATGTATATACACATTAACCAACAGTTGGCCCCAAAACTCAAATCCCAAAACTCAAATATTAAAATTAAAATTCAAAACCTGTTTGATTAGGGTTACAAAAAAATTAAGATAAGCTACTTAATATTAAAACTAGTGGCTTGTAGGGACGTAAGTCCCTAAAAAGCTCAAATCTAAAATCAATTATTGTAATCTTGAAACAAACTCAGAATCAAACTTTAATATGGAAAGACAAAAACAGATGTGTTGAGATAAGCTTAGTTCTTGGTCAAAACCGCTAAATTAGCACTCCGAATCAGTTATTATTGCTATGTTTATGCTCATTTTGTAAAGGTTTTGACAAAATTAGTGTAAAGTAAAGGCACCCCATTGACAGAACGTAACCCTAAATTTGTTTCTGATCAACATTAAAAAACTACTATTAGCCTAGTATAAGTATATATGGTGGTAATCCTCTTAAAGGTGCGATTGACTTTACATATCCTATCAAAAAAGGGCCTAATCAACGTCTGGTTACTAACTATTTTGTGACTGGTTAGGGTTCCATTACCCAGTTATTGAAACCAATCACGACATGCAAATTTTTGGTTAGTTTTAAGAAACGGAAATTACCTCTAGGTTTTACTGTTATAAGTAGGTGCTCCCTTTACTACTGTGCATGCTAGGCTATATTATTTGAACATGTACCCGGTTAGTCTCCTCTAAACAATATTGTTTTTTTTCGCCCATTGGAACTTGTCATAGTACTTCCTTAATAAACGAATACCTGTACGAACCCCTATTTCATCATCATTCCAAAATTGTTTTCTAACAGGGGCCATTAAGGTTATTCAACTTCAACTTCATACAAAATATTGATTTAACTCTACAATAAATCTCAAATATAAATGTTAGTAAATTTACAAAAGTGTGTGTCAGAAATCTGTAACACATGTTTTGTAATAAAACCAATGCAGATGTTTTGTAATCAAAAGAACGCAAAAGTTCTTCATTTAATCTTGAATCGTTTCTTTAATCTTGAAAACAATTGATTTCAACTTTGACGTAACTAAAAAGTCTTAATCATTATAGGTAACGTTATCCCTGGTTTTATATAGTATACGGTACATTGCAGAATTGACTGGCAAATGAGTAATCCAAATGTAATATTTCTTACTGGCTTAATGATAATCACGATCAGCTGTATTGAAGTAAACAAAAATCAGCAGTAAATGGCTTCTAATGCTATTCTTATGGAGGACATTTTACGTTAGATCTAATTTTGTGTTAAAATTATGGGGATTTCACTATTTTTCCCGCCGTCACGGGATCGAGACCTTTAATTTGAGCCCTCTCCCATCATTCTACGACTTCCCAGTCGCCCACAATTTTGACGCAAAGAATCGGCTTACATAATTAATAATATAGATAGATGTTTACTATTAAATTAAAACTGAAAGAAGAAATGTAATTATTCTCACTTATTTCTAATCCATTTGTTTTTTGGTGAGATTTGAACCCGTGCTCTGGAACTGTGAAGCCCCATGCTCTACCATTCGACCAGCCAGTGGCGGATCTAGAGCAGTCACAAGGGGGGGGCGAACCAGGGAGTCAGGGGCGGTTCGGGGGTACCCCTCCGAAAAATGTGTGTAAACTAAGTCTCCTAAATCACAGTTTTTTACCATTTCTTTGTCCAAAGTTAGTGTGACAAATTATTTTACGCAATTTGTATGCACTACTGTATTACATGCAGTAAAAAATATATGTATATGTATGCCCGAGGGGGGGGCGGTCGCCCCCCTCGCCCCCCCTCTGGATCCGCCACTGCGACCAGCTCGCTTCCCAGTCTCACCTTCACATCCTAGGACACTAGGTTCTAGCCCAGAACGGTTTTACACATTAAGTTATTTCTGGTTTGTCCTAGAGAGTCGCGGCATTATCACGTAGTTAAAATGTGTTGGTAATTGTGGGATTTGAACCCGTGCTCTAGGACTCCGGAGCCGGCCCATGTTGTACCACTAAACCAGCTCGCTCCCCGAGGTGAGCTAAAACCGTGTTAAAACATGGAAATGACAGCCAAATAACAGCCATCGTGTAGAGCTTTAAAAAAATGTCATTTAAATTCTCATGGTTTTTGGTTGGTAAAAAAACAACCTCCCCCATAGCAGCAAACCTAAGCCCTCTTTCAATCTAATGTTAATTTAAATGGGAAATATGTCTTGTTTATAGAAATAATATTTTTGTAAAAATCCAATCAGACAGATTGAAATTAGCTTATTCTGCAGATTTTCTGCGGACAGTGTATTTTTGTTTATATAAATGGTACATCAAATGTTCTCGTGTTTGTTTTGTTACAGAATTATGTTTATCATATTTTAAAACTTTAATTTAGGATTATATTTATCTATAATATATCAGAGGAACTAAATTTAAGGGTGTTCCAAAGTAAAAAATCTTAAACGGATTGTAATGGTTACTTGGTTGACATGCTATGTGTGCAAGAGTCCATCAAAATTATTAAGATTCAATTTTTCTAAAAACAGTTTCTAAGTGTTTCTTGTTTTCTAGGTTAGGCAACTGCTGTACAAAGTTTTGTCCGTTCGAGATTGGGCCCAAAGAGACAAGTAAGTAAGAGTGAGCCTTGAGCTTATCTAAGTTTAATATCCTTTGGGAACTATCTATTGATTTATCTTTTACTAACTTGAGGCAGCCCAAGGCCGCGCTAGATATACGGTTTGCAGCCTTGGGCTGCCTCAAGTTAGGGTGGCGAGGACTATAAAAGTAAACTTGGTGAGTCCCTACACTGAACTGTTCATAGTAGAACCGTGATAGTAGTATTGTATGGTATTGTTTTGTTCAAACTTTAATGTAGATAAATTCTTTAATTTATAATATTTCAATAAAATGTACCGTTTTTGAGGTATTTGCGAAAAAGTAAAAAAGTCTCATTTTCACACCCTCCCCCCCCCCACCAATCACGACACTCAAATCAGTGTAACTTTTTTTTACATATTGTATTCAACAAATTGGCACTGGTTTGGAACTTTTTTGGATGACCCGGTTTGCTCTTTTTTAAGCTAATTAATTGCACTGTACTATATAGAGCACTTTAAAACACTGAATTTTTCCTCGTATATTTGGTATATTCTGTGGTACCCAAATCTGTTGTTTTTCTTGGACAAAAGAAACAAAAGTTCTTTAAGAAATCTAAATTTTTGGTTAAAGTAAGTGAAGAGCGAAACAAACCGTTATAATTTAGATGTTATGAGTGCAATGAAAAAGGACACCGTAAAGCAGACTTTCCTCAGTTAAAAGGTAAACAGTTTAGATCTCATATAGCAGATAATGACGCATGTTATGTGCCTGAAGATGACGTAGCTCTCAGTAGTATCCATAGTACGACTCTAGTGAATTTTGTACTAGATTCTGGATCAACACATCATCTTGTAGATTGTGGGACTGGTGTTTTTCTTGAAAATGTTAAAGATGTTGACTTTGACATTGAAGTTGCCAAAAATGGTCAAACTCTGAAGGCTACAAGATTGCCACGTTTTTAAAAGTTTAGAAAAGAACTTGGACTTTTCTAAAAAATTATTTAATCAGTTGTGTTTGTTTGGATTTGAATTGGATTGAAGAATTGTGGGGGAGTGTTGAAGATCAATTCTAATGTCCTTGAAAATATTGTTTAAATGTATTTGAATTTTGAACAGGTGGTATTTTCATATTTTAAATAATATTAATAGTAACGAGGTGTTAGTCCGTCCTACGTACGGGAATTCAGTAGTCAGTTAAAACCGTGTACAATTCAGATCAGCTAGTTTACACGTAAAGACAAAGTTTCTTGCAGTTTTAATGTGAAAAATCATCTTGTAAACAAATGCTGTGTGACCAAATATTTTTTTATTCCATCATAGGCCTATACGATATGCATTTTAGATCCGATAATTTTAAACAATAAAACAGCAATTCTACAATTTTTGCTATGTGAAAAGCGTTGAAGTGAGATTTGCAGCCGATTCGCACAGACGCACACTGAGTATAAGTAGCCTACAGTAGAGAGAGTAATAGTCAATAAAGAAGTGTATACGATTACTAAAAGAACTGGTCACATGTAGCAGGAATATAAGAAGCAAACACGCTAGTAAAGCTAATGACGTAATTGTCAATGTTTATTATCCATACCGTTATCAGTTCTATCCTTAATAATTACCCACCCTCATTGAATAAGTGTACATCGTAATTTCCCATATTAGTTAATTTAAACTACAATATATTCATAGTTGAAATAAAAGTGATATTTTCACGTTTGGGAGCGCTGATAGGCACCCCCAAACGTAACCACACTGAACACGATTTCATAAAAGGATGGTTTGTCTAATTGCAGTATCCTAGGTCAATGTTGACGTTGTGTTCAATCTTTGTATAAAACTCGGCTGAGGTTGTGGTGGTAATTTAAAATTGTGATTCCTGATTATTCTTGATCTTCTTTTTATGACATCGATATTTCCGGGCCAAATCCAAACAAAGTTAAAGCAGACAAACATCTGTAAACAAAAAGCGACCATGAAGAATTAAAACATGTAAACATTGTTATTTTTCTATTCTTTCCTCGAAAAGTGGAATAGTAAAATAATTTGCATTTATCCTTTTTTATTAAGACTCGTGTACAGAGCCTCGATTAGTACTGTGGTTTAATTAATTTTGGTCTAAACTATTTTAAACTGTGGTCTAATTATCTCTACTAATCTTACTTATTTCCTATAATCAATGACAAAATAAGAGTAAATAAAATAACCTCATAGTTCCATAGTTTATATTTAACCAGCTGTTAGTTAAAACAAATTATATTACTCTAAAACAAATCGAAGATTACAAAGATTGCTTCAAAAAAATAATTTGAACATCCTAGTATTTTACTATGTATAATTTAATTAATCTGTCATCCTCTTACAGAAGAATTGAACGTATCAATGATTTGCATTACACATAGTATTATAAATAATACCCCCGCCGCAGCAAACCTGCAGACTTAGCGAATTTCCATCTGCCTGATTGGATTTAAACTAAAATATCTCCTTAAAAATATCACATTTATTCCCTATTTTAACAGAATTAGTTTAATGAGTACTTAGGTTTTCTGCAACAGGGAGGGTAAAAAAAGTTTTTTTAAAATGTAAAATATTAAAAGGTACTGTGGTTTAGTAAGAAATTAATGTATTTTCCAAATTTGATCAAAATATGTTCATAAACAAGCAAACTACAACAGTTGACTTATTCTCCATAAGAATAACATGGGAATTTTAAAATTACAATTTTTTTGAATTTTCTCCGTAACAATTAGGCGCATAACAACGCTTCAATATACTAAATTATTTGTTTTTTTAAGCTCTACAAAATGGTTTAAAAATAAATTGTGAAATTTTGTGTTTTTAGGGTCGAAAATGGGAAAACCCTATTTTTACCCCATACAACCCCCCATAAACCCCTGTTCCCATAGTCCGATCATGCTGGTTCGCGAACTCATTCAAGTTTATCCCGCCTTACACCTTCAAACCAAATTTTATCAAAATCGGACAAAAATTACTCAAGTTATCGTGCGGATGGACACACATATATATATATATATATATAGATATATAAAAATTTGAACGAATGGTGTTTTTGGCCTCTGGGGACATCAAAATGAAAAAGTAAATCGGTCCCGGGCTTAGGTCTTACCATGAGACCTACGGTAATAGCTACTTCCCTATAGGGAAATTCGCTAATAAGTCAACCCTAAGGCTAGGATTATACTAGGACGCTGGGGTCCGAGAGGCCAGCGTCCGGGACGCTAACGGGGCATTAAATCAAATGGGGGCGATTATACTATGGATGCTAGCGTCGGATGCTAAAAAGAGCCACCGGACGCTCGAAGCTATTACCGTAGGTCTCATGGTAAGACCTAGGCCCGGGACCGATACTTTTTCATTTTGATGTCCCCAGAGGCCAAAAACACCATCCGTTCGTATAGATTTAAATATTATATATATGTCTGTAAACGCGATAACTGGAGTAACTTTTGTCCTATTTTGAAGAAATTCTGTTTTAAGGTGAGGGGTGGGATGAATGAGTTCGCGAACCAGCATGAACAGACCTTGGGAACGGGGTTTTATGTGCTAAAAAAGGGGGTTTGTCATTTTTGACCCATAAAACTGAAAAATTCCCAATTTCTCTCTAGACAATTTTAATGAGCTTAAAAACAAATAATTTAGTATATTTAAGTGTTTTTGTACTGTTATTAGTTATGGAGAAAATTAAAAAAAGAGTATATTACAAATTGCCATGTTATTCTTATAGAAAATGTTGTTAAGTGTTGGAATTTGCTTGTGTATGGATATATTTTGATTAAACTTGGACGATTTGTTTTATACTAAGCTAATAATACAGTATTTTACTAAAAACACACTTTATTAGCCCCCTTAAAGCATCAAACCTTGGTACTCGTTAAACCTAATGTTATTTAAATAGATATAAACAAAAAGTGACTAAACATTGAAATAAAATGGCAGTCCGAGAGGCTAGCATCCCAACACAAATCACGTCATTTTTCGGCTTGAGGTGGGACGCTAGCCTCTCGGACGCCAGCATCCCGGACGCCAGCGTCCTAGTATAATCCTAGCCTAAGTGTGACTTTACATTTTTATCCAAATGCTGAATTTTTGACACAAAAGCTGAATGTTTACAGCTGTTATGTTAAGCAAATTATTTTATGCCAAAAGCTAGTTTAGAATCTTAGCGTCGGCTGCTAGACTTTTTAAAAATTAAAACTTAATTTCTAAAAATCTGGGACCATAAACTAAACTTATGGCTTCGACATTCCCTAGTTCTCAAAACTATATTTCTTTCAACACAAAAATCATGAAAATCTGTCGAGTGGTTGATTCAGAATCGTGAAATAAAAAAACACTACTGTATTTCGTTTTAATATTATAGATTGTTCCTATGTTGTAAATAGTTGGTTTCAGTCTCCCATTTTTTTAAGTAAATTAAAAACCTTTAATCCAAGTCTAAAGATTCCACTAATTTATCCCTTCCTACTGTAGAGTGTAACAGGTAAATAGTAGGCATAGTTTTAACAGCCAAAGAGTAACTGTTTAAGGTATGGAGAGAGGCCTGTGGGTCAAACGTATCCAGCAAAACAAGGGATGAGCCGGTATAGTACAAGGGTGAAACAAACTGTACTGATAAAAAGTAGTGGGAGGTACCAGGATCCGAACCCACTACATTGCTGCCTTGGGCCCGAAGTCCATGGCGCTACTGACTCACCTCAACCTAATCTGAGCTTTTATCTCTTTTACAACAAATTCCTAATCTTCCACTTTGGCAAGGTTGACTCCTCTGCAGCGCAGACAGCTGGAAGGTTGTCTGTGTCGAGTGCCGTCTCAGTTCTACGTCCAGGTATGGGACATCTTAGTCAGAGTGCCTCAGGGTATCCGCACACAGGGCCACACTCTACCTCACCAACCTACACTCACCAACATGACACGCTCTGAGCTCAACTTTGGACTGCTCGTAGAGGACATACTCAACCACATACAACAACCAGAGTATCGTCAAATCATTGTTGAGGTAATCTTGAATTATTACAAATATTGTGTAGTACCAATATTGGAATCTATATGTTCAGATTTAATCTTCCTTATTTTAATTGATAACTTTAAAATACTTCAACATCAATCTGTATGTATACAAAAACAGCTAATTTCTGTAGAGCTTAGCTTTATTAATTTTTTTAATTTCCAATCTATCAAAACATAGGATTTTGCATGTCCCAAGCAAACAAAGTTCCTGTGTTTTCCTGTGCACTAAGGTATAGTATTCTTTTATAAAATAAATTAGTAGGAACTATAAATTGTAAAACCATACTATGAAAACTAAGAGCATTACTAGACTATGAAGTGATATTTGATTATTCAAAACCACTTAGCTATGTGTGATTATTTGCATTGGGATGAAAAGTATCGTTCCCTACTTGTCATAAAAGTCCCATTTGTACCCTAAAGAGGCCACTTTTGGAACTAGTAGTAAAATATCTATCTTATGAAATCCGTCTAAAGATGTGAGATGTGTTTCTGTATGTTGTAAATACATAAAACCCCTTTTTCATGAGTAATACCTCACATGTATTGTTTCAGTGCTCAATCCAAAATGTTACCCCATAAGGATGTAAAAAAATGTGTACTGAAATCGTGTAATCCACTTGGTTACATTTTTGACTACTTCATTTGATTGCCCTACACTTGACTCATCAAAATATTTTCAGCTTCTGTGTATTGTTTCAACAATACTTCATAGAAATCCTGAATTGACGTTTCGAAACCAGCTGGACTTGGATGAACTAGTGTCAGAAGCCTTCAAAATGTTTTGCAAAGTAAGTCTTGGCAAATATTTTGGTTCTGTACACATTTTCAATAGTGAGACGATCTTCATGCCTGAATGTATTTTTGACACTGTCCATTGTACCACAGAAAACGTACTACTATAACCCAGAATGCCAACCGCATGGTAAAAAGCATTAAGCGGTTTGAGAGAGCTTTGCCTGTCAATCCGTAGGCAGCGCCACCAGCGAGGAAACGTTTTGCTACAGGAACGCTGGTGGCGCTGCCTACGGATTGACAGGCAAAGCCCTCTCAAACCGCTTAATGCTTTTTACCATGCGGTTGGCATTCTGGGTTATAGTAGTACGTTTTCTGTGATTGTACTATTCCTCTTTGAGCTATGGCCCTCTACCTAATGCCATATTAGATGGCTCACTTACACTACACCTCATTTAGCTACTCGTTGCGCTGTTTGTGTGGAGTTGCGGGGGAAACTCAAAAATTTCAAATGGAAAGACCCATCGAGTGACCCCTTATTTTGAAGGTCCTTTTAAAAGAAAACCAATAACGCAAATTAGAGGTCTCTATATCAATCCAGTAAAAGATGGCAGCCAATTGAAATTCTCAGAAGTTAAATTTAACTTAGAGCTTTCCAATCCTGGAGACCCCCTGTAAATTTTGTAACGGCTCACACTAGAAAAACTAAACGCTACATACCTTTTTGGCATTTTATGAAGTACTTTTTAAGCCTAATAGCCACTTGGTTTGCAAACCCAAAATGGGGGATTTTGGGGGAAACTCAAAAATGTTTAATTTTAAACCCCATCGAGTGACCACTTGAAGGTCATAATAAAAGAAAACTAACAACGCAAACTAGAGGCATCTATCTTAACACAGTAACATATGGCAGCAAATTGAATATAAAATTGAAAGTTATTTCTGATTTCTAAAGATTTCAATCGAAAAAAATTTTGAGTTTCCCCCAAAATCCCCCATTTTGGGTTTGGAAACCAAGTGGCTATTAGACTTCAGAAGTACTTCATAACATGCCAAAAAGGTGTGTAGAGTTTAGTTTTCCTAGTGTGAGCCGTTACAAAATTTACAGGGGGTCTCCAGGATTGGAAAGCTCTAAGTTAAATTTAACTTTTGAGAATTTCAATTGGCTGCCATCTTTTTCCTGGATTGAGATAGAGACCTCGAATTTGCGTTGTTGGTTTTCTTTTGCCATGAACTTTAAAATGAGGGGTCATTCAATGGGTCTTTCCATTTGAAATTTTTGAGTTTCCCCCAAAATCCCCCATTTTGGGGATGTTCACCAAGTGGCGGTTATGCCCAAAAAGTACTTCATAACATGCCATAAAGGTGTGCCGAGTTTGGTTTTTCTAGTATGGGCCGTTAATAAAATAACAGGGGGTCTCCACACGTTTTACTAACTTTGTATATCTACTGGGAGTACAATGCAGTTGTCTGCTTGCAATATTGAGTGCAGCCAGCATTATATCCAATACTTTTCTTAAGTCAATACTATACATCTGTTTCTCGTAAATGGGATATATACTTGCAGTATCCAATGTCAATGGTATATTTGGTTCACATTTGCAGTATTTAAAGTCCATTGCCTTTATAAGTCTGGTTCACATAAATGAATTGTCTACTTGCAGGAACCAAAGTCCATGTTTCATCTGGTTCTCTTAAATTAAATGTCTTCTTGCAGTATCCAATGTCAATGATATATTTGGTTCGCATACATAAAATGCCTATTTGCAGTATGTAAAATCAATGGTACACCTGTTGTACTTAAATCGAATGTCCATTTAAAGGTTCTAGTGAATGGTACGTCTGGTTCACAAAACAAATTTTTTACTTGTAGTTTCCAAACTTAATAGTACATTAGGTTCACGTAATGAATTGTCCACTTGCAATTTCCTAAATCAATGGTACACCTGCTTCACATAAATGAGAAATCTGCTTGCAATATCCAAAGTATATTGAGTATGCCAAAGTATGCCTACTTCTGGTTCACTTAAATAGTCTTTTTGCAGTAATCAAAGTAGGGGTGGACGGGTCCCGAAATTTCGGAAAATTATCAGAAAAAAAATTTCCCGATCTTTGGGACAGCATTGTATTTTAAAAAGAAGATTATGTGTTTCATCTTTGTTTCCCTCCGCTCAATAGGCGGGCCTGAGACTACATACATATAGTTAGGTCAATAATTGAAAATCCTTCACATATTACGTTTAGGAATGTCTCCTAAACTTATTGAATGTTCAGGACAGCCAGATGGAGAGCTGTAGAGATGTGACAGTGTTTTTCTCAGCTCCCAACTCCGTCACAACTGGATACCTAGCAAGAGCTGTGGTCAACAATGTTTTGAAAGGAGGACAGTTAGCTCCTGCTTCTGGCTCACAGGATGATGACCATTGCCGCATCTCTTAGTCAACATAACATTTTTACATTGCTATGAGTATTTTGGTTATTTCCTTGCAAGTAGTTATGGTTACAAAATAAATGTGTTTACTACAAAATTGCCAATCATGTTTTATTGGATTATTTATCCCTACAATATGAAGACACCAGGGGAAAAGGGGGTAAGTCCACTATTTTGGGTTTTTGAGTTTAGGACGAAAAACGGTTCTTTGTTGTTAAAATTTGTAAGTCGTAAACTCGAAAGTGGAATAAGGATGTTAGTACGGCTGTAATTTACGTTGGAAAATATGGGGGTGTGGGGAAGAAGGAGGCAAGTCCAGTACATAGTGGGGTAGAAAGAGCCTAGTCTCTACTTGTTGCCTGTAGAACGAGTGACTCACCACCTGACTGCCAAGCCAGGTTTGAAACTTTAGATTGCAACATTCCCCTGAGGTATTCATATACAGTCCAACCTCGGTATAACGAATCTGAAGGGACCGAACTGAATATTCATTATATCAAGGATTTCGTTAAAATGAGGTTCGTTATATTGAGGTTAGGTTTGCAGGAATTTCACTAAGTCGAGGTTCAGAACCAGCATCAGGTCGGGATGGGTCGGGATTTGACCTCATTAAAACACAATTAAAGTAGCATAGGCTACAATACTTTACAGTACTGTGTTTACATTGTAAAGTAGAACCTCGATTATCTGGGGTACTAAAGGGTAGGGATCTTTAATATTACGCAATCATGACATTTCTAGTCTTTGACCTTGGTACAGGTTACAAACTGTCTGTAAGTTTAAAATCACAACTTACTCTAACCCACCTAAAACCTAGCCAAACACTGTATTGTATAGCAATAAAACACGCAAAGAACAAAACAAAACAGTAGATAGTTTTGTAAGCTACTGCTTGTGATAGGCCGGTAGGCTACAGTTCTGTTTTAAATCACAGCAGAGGAATGTCAATACTGTAATAATCATCAACTATAACATTGGTGTTGCCTTAGTTTAAACAAATCGTATTGAAAATAATAAAATACTAGATAAGTCGTTATAAAAGTGTATAATCATAGTCAACTTAAAGATAATAAAAACACTCGTAATAGGAATATAAAGATAACGATATATGTTGCTATTCTTTCTCTTTGGTTTGTTCTTCTATTCTTTTTCTTTCTTAGGTTTCTCTTCATCCAAAAATTGTACAAGTCACCATACTTACTTTTATCACTCAATCACATTTTACTAAACATTAACGTCGGCATCAGTCCTCAGTGAATTAAATCTGTTTTCTTTTAGTTGTAACATAGCGCGCAGCGACGACAGCAGACAGTGATGTGTAAACAGAGCAGACGAATGTTGGCGCAAGCTTTGACGTCACATTTCTATTTCATTTTATGAAGAAACTGATTTTTCAAAAACAATAATGGTGGTGGGGGGTTCGTTGTATCGAGGGAGAGACGCAGACAATTCCTCAAGTACAGGTTAAATTCGCTATGTGGAGGTTCTGACAATGATAAATTCCTTATATTGAGGTGTCTTATTTTAGCCGGGATCATGAAAAATTTGTTAAATCAAGGTCATTGATATGGTTTGTTCGTAATGTAGAGGTAAAACATACATTGTGTCTAATGGAGAGTTCTAGGGGATTACAAAAAAATGTGTTATATCAAGGAATTCTTTATATCGAGGTTCGTTATATCAAGGTTAGACTGTACTCTAAAAAATTTAAACTAATGTGGCTGACGGCTAATTTGTATTTAGACATAGCCCTACACTTTGTCTGCACATTGATGGGCTGCATGCCACAAAAACTCTCTCTCTCTATCAATCCCATACCCATTAAACACGGCGTGCACTGAGTCGACTACGGTTTGGCCTTACTTGCCCGGCTCCGGCGTTTTACCTTGCACTGCACCGGCCTTCTCTGTTCGCCACCGGCCGGAAATACATCACAACCTCGTGTTCACCAGCCTAGCTTTGCTGTCAGTGCACACAGTCTGCTTAAATAACGTATATCATGAAACATCTGTATACCAAATTACATATCTTCAAAAGTAACAAAAGCTTTGTTACACAATTGTCCAGTTTAGGTGGTTAACAATTGAACAATTTTACAATTTCATTATTTTACAACTGGTGGAGTTTTTTAGTGATATAAGGTTCATTAACACCACCCACATTTAAAGTTTCATTAACAGGATTATCAAAACCGTCAATACATTTTCAGTTTGCCGATCTAGGACCTACCGACACAGAAGCCGAATTGCTCCATATAGGGCGCGCCAAGCCCGACCGGTGTAGTGCGCGGCGTCTCATTTAATAACATGTATTTTAACAAACATTTAAAAAAGGCTGTAGTTGACTCAGTGCACGCTGTGCTTTATTCATGTTTTCTTTGTGTGGGCCTATTCTTTCCCCTTCCAGATTCACAACCAGCCCTGACACACCACTGTATGTTAAGTCTCCTGACACCTGGTAGTGAATGTGGTAATTGAGCCAGTTGGAATGAAAGACGAGTCCAGGGTAGTTTGTTTAGACATTTTGAGGCTTTTGTGTTACATACGGGACGGTGGCGTTGTCCTGTAATCCAGCTACCAGGAGGTCACGAATTGTGGATATTTATAGGCATGCACTGATGTAATACTCCCTGGTGTGGATTAACGTCCGCACTAGTGAGAACTATGACTATCCGCAGTACTAACCTGATAATTAGACCAATTCGTTAATACCAAGACAAAAGTGGTTTGGATTGCAATATAAACTGTAGGTCCTTTAGTTTCCATTAGCTGTATTGGCTATTAATTAACAGCTGTGTCTAGAGAATATGTTGGCCTTAGTCACTAACAAGACTACAAGATCGTTCCACTCATACTACACTCTTCTCCATTCATACTTGGCTTAAAATACCTAATTTGTATGGTCACTATTCCAATGAAAAGTATAAAGTAAACAAATCTATATCTATATAATTTATTTTTGTAAAAAAATACAACCGACTTCAAACGCTCTAAAAAGAATGAAATAATTTCAATAAAGTAAACTTTGTATTAGGCAAGCTCACGTATTTTAAGTCGGCGCGGCTCTATGATGATTTTTGATACAAAATTGAAAGAGGGTGTCCATATTGCAGGTGACTACCTATAACTAAAGATGTTAATCTACATGTCTTTTTCATAGTTAGGCGTTAAGTGTTATTTTATTACCGTAATCAGAGATCGGCATTATAGTGGTATTAACGAGTATCTTTAAAAAGATTATAACGCATTTAAATGTTTCTAACTTGGAAAAGTAACGTTTTAATACTAAACTAGCTTCTTTTCCCTATCATAATATCAAACTAAATTATTTTCCTATTCATATAGAACATTTGTGTGTGTTATTTTCATAATGCATTTATTCTGAAGTAAACATAAAATACAAGAAAATTTCCTTTAATATATAAACAAAACAGTGCAGTATGTTTTTTGTATATTTATGTTATCCAGCTACAATTTATTGATTTTCAAAATACACACACAATATTTAATTTCAATCATATTTGCAGTTTGAGCCGCGCCGACTTGAAATACGTGAGCTTGCCTAATACGAAGTTTACTTTATTGAAATTATTTCATTCTTTTTAGAGCGTTTGTTTTACAAAAATAAATTATTTCATGATTTTTAGTGACTGTATAATTTTTAATGTATTAATTACTTGAGGTTTTTTGATAAGCAAAACTGTTTGAAACAATCAAAAGTTCCACAGAACAATCATTATTTTAAAACTGCTTGAGTCACCTGTTCAGGTTACATAATCAATGGGTATGAAAATAAACATTTTTAGATATTCCTTAAGAAAGAAAGAGTTGTCCATTACATTAGGCCCAATGAAAAACTAATTGTCTTTTCTAGATACATTGAAATGTCAGACATCATCGTTTCCTGCAATCTGTGTACTTCTACATTATAAAAAGAAATACAGTAACGTCTCAAGCCTTTTGGAACAATATGAAAGTTATTCCTCAGCCACCAGCACTAAAAAATCTCTCAAAAGTGGAAAATTGGTCGTTAACACGTATAGTACCTTTGGAAAATATTATATGAAAAATTGGTTCAGCTAAAAGTGGTGTAAGTCATGTAGGGGGTTTTGTTTGCTCAAGATATAGCCTAGTCGAAAATGCAAATCATCTTCCTCTAGGACTTTCCGAAGCAGGCATAATAGTATTGATATGTTATAGTAACTGGGTAGAGAATATTAATAAACATTCCACATCTGCAAATGAAATATGTATATGAAAGATTGGTTCAGCTAAAAGTGTTGCAAGCCATGTAGGTGGTTTTGTTTGATCAAGATATAGCCTAGTCGAAATTGCAAATCATCTTCCTCTAGGACTTTCCGAAGCAGGCATAGGGCCTAATAGTATTGATATGATATAGTAACTGGGTAGAGAATATCAATAAACATTCCACATCTGCAAATGCATGTTTAGTAATTAAAATATTTAGCCTAACACTTTTAAGACAATTGACGATTATGCACTGTCACACTTCTTAGGTCGTGTAAGGAATAATTGCATTTATTTTTTATTTAGACCTGTTTTACGAATGCTTTGGTTTTCACAATACACCTTTATTTGTCAATATCATACAGCTATTCACTGAAACATTTATGTTTTTGTAAGTCAGACTATTCCATACTAAAAACATAATTACTGTATACACAAATCAGGTCAAACGTTAAAATACATTTTTTATAGTAACCAAAACAAAATGCAATTTTCTCAATGTAATTCATCATTTAGGCTCCATGGCAAGAAATAGTTTATTGATCAATGTGAAACAACTGTTTCATGAAGAATTGTCTGTAGCTCATTTCAATGGTTTCAACTAACAGCTGTAGGAATGTTATTATTATTTATTGCCTTCTCTGCACAAATGTAAACAAAATAAATGTTGAATATTTAAGGTTTTCAGAATTTTTCACCGAAACAAATATTATACTTAAACATAATATATAAGGTACCAAATAGAAACTCTCCTGGTTATTTTGGTGGTGGAACCACACTGATCGGTAAAAGAATCACAGAGAAATTGGTGAACATACATAGCAAAAAAAAAAAAATCGCCACAAACAAATTGAGAA